CTTTTGTCGTTTTGTTTATTTTGATGTATTACATGTAAATTCAAGCCAAGGGCTTAATGTGTAAATGAGTTAGTACTCTTTTGTTGTAACCAAGTGTTAACTTGGAAAGCTGTAAGCCCATAGGGCATTTGCTTTTGTTGTTAACATGTAATACCTTTGTAATGAAACTCTGATATATGGAAGAATGTGGTTATTTCTTATGTCAATGAATGTCTCATTTGATGGGTTTAATGTTATTATTTTGAGGGCGTTACAAAATATACATTCAATCTTTTTTCTTTTGTTTTTTTTTATTTTTTATTTTTTAAGGTTCACAACTATTTTTTTTTTTAAGATTCGCAACCAAACCCAAATATATATTCAATTTTATTTTATTTTATTTGGCTCAATAATAAAATCAAATACACTTTAATTAACATTGTCACATTATTCTTGTCAAATTTTATGTATATCTAGAATTTTTTTAATTTATTTAAAAAAATTAAAGACACTGTCTAGTGGAGGTTTCGGTTTGCTTTTCTATGTTATTTTATTTTGTTATGTATTGTAATTTTCAGAATGGTTTGCTTGTTTTGAAATTTCAATTAACGAGTATAAATCTATTTGTTTTATGTTATCACACAATTTATACAACATATATATATTTATACAAAATAGGAAAATTGTAGAGAATCGAAACAAGCATGAGTCATGATTGGTTAGAAAAGATGGGTACAAGGATTTATTTGCTAACAAAATAAAAAGGGGATACAAAGTCTTACTAAATAATTTTTTTTAAAATAAAAGAATTTTTCTTAGTTATGAACAGATTTAACTGAAATCAACTTGTTTCCCAATGTTATGCTTCATTTATTTAGATAGAAAATATTTTTAAATGAAAAATATTTTTTATAAAAAAAATTAAAAATATATATTTTTTATATTTGGTGGTGGTGGTGATGGAACGAAGGTGAAAGTAGAGATTGTGATATAGTGGTGGGGTGATGGCGACAGTGATGATGGTAGTAGCTATGGTGATGGTAGTGTGATAGTGAATGTGAGAATAGTGGTGATGGTGTTCTGAAATTAGTAAAAATTTAATTGAAAAAATATTTTTTGTTTTTTAAAAGTAACAAACAACAAAATTCGTAGGGGACTAAAGGAAGAAGATGGAGGATGGATTGGGTGTGGTAAGGCATAGATATCTTAAAATGAGTGGTTTAGATTTATTAAAAGGTATAATTAGATTTTGGATAAATTAAAATGAATGGTTCAAATTTGCTAAGAGAAAGATGGTTTAATGTCTAAAATGTCCGTGGCTAAGAGATCAAAAACAATTCCTTATTTATGCCGTGATGCAATTTAATATGGGTCTTATAACACTTTCTTCAAACAGGTTCTTTTACATTTTATTTCTTCAAACAGGCTTTTATAACATTGTAAACAAGTTCTTATAACATGTAGGAGAGAGAGTGAGAGAGAGAGATATAGTTGTAATTTTTTTTTAATATTCCACGTTCTTCTACATTTTTTTTTTTAATTACTAAAACTTATTTGATTGTCTCAAAATTATATATTTGATTATTATAAAACAAATTTTTTAATTAATTAATTAATGTGTATTTGATTTTGTTGTTGAACCAAATAAAATAAAATAAGATTGAATGTATACTTAGCTTTTGTTGTGAACCTTAAAAAAAAATTGTTAACATTAAATATATAAAAAAAAAAGAAAAAAGATTGAAGGTATATTTAGCTAAAACCTTTTAAAATAAATAGAAAAATAAAAAAAAAAGTTGTTAACATTAAATATATTAAAAAAGAAAGAAAAAAGATTGAAGGTATATTTAGCTTTTGTTGTGAACCTTAAAAAAAAAAAAAAAAAAATTGTTAACATTAAATATATTAAAAAAAAAAATGTTAACATTAAATATATAAAAAAAAAGAAAGAAAAAAAATTGAAGGTATATTTAGCTAAAACCTAAAAAAAAAGAAAAAAAAAGTTGTTAACATTAAATATATTAAAAAAAAGAAAAAAGATTGAAGGTATATTTAGCTTTTGTTGTGAACCTTGAAAAAAAAAAGTAGTTGTTAAATATAAAAAATAAAAATAGAGATTAAAGTGGGTTGGAGAAAATCCAAACACATTAGGAAATGAGGAGGGTGGTACCTATGGAGAATGGAGAATGGAAAATGTGGAAAATTTATTATAGGGGAATGGGGATGGAGAATTAATATCCACCCCATTAAGCCCCATTGCCATCCTTATCCATTGGCTATTTTCATTTTTTTTTTTTTTGGAGATGCATTTTTGCAAAATTTAAAAGAGCTTATATTTATTATTATTTTTTCTAATTTTTTTTGGACATTTGGTCAAATAATGTCCAATTTGAAAATTTTGTACTAGGAGTTTTAATATATATATATATATTTAGGATAACAATAATTTGAAAACTATGGTACCTTATTTATCTTTTATCTGTCTACATGTTAATTAATTGAATTTTTCGACCACAATGTTCAATTATAATTGGCCGTTATGTTTGGAGTTGTTTTTTTTAATATTCTAAAAAAATAATAATTTAAAGAATTGACTCACTTTTTAAATTATTTAAGAAATTAATCTACTTTTTAAAATCATATTTTAAAAATGTAATTTTAAATTAAAATTATATTTTTAATATATAATTTTATCTTGAAGTTGCATTTTGAACACATCCTTTTTAGTGAAAGGCGAGAAAAGGGGCTGACACCCCCAAGTCAAGTATCTGTTAGGGCCCCCTACGGGTACAGTTAGCTCCCTCTAAAGGAAGGGTGATTTTCTGGATAATCCCTAAGGCGTCTTTCTCCTACAGGCATTCCAAAGTCGAGGCCTTTTTTGTTTTTGTTAGGATGGACCTAGGATCACCTTTTCTGTACTGGAAGTTGAGCAAAGGGGCCCATCCCTTCTATGGGATTGGCCAGTGATTACCTTATTGTTTAAGCTTCCGTTTGAGAAGTGGGTTGACTTTTTAGTTTTTTAACTTTTTTAGCTATTTGAGCCTGGGCTTAAAAGCTTGGTTTGGGAATAGCTTTTTAGTTTTTTGACTTTTTTGACTTTTTTTGTGAGAGAAAAGTGTAATGATTATGGGTTAGATGTAATGTTTTGTCTGTCGTGGCTCAAATAGCCTATTCTGTCTTTTGTGGCTCAAAGAGCCAAAAGAGCCCAAATGAGCTCTTCCCAAACGACACCTAAATATCCTAGGACTCTTTTATCATGTTGAAAATACAATTTATAATGACTCATTATAAATTATAAATTGTATTTTCAACATGCGATTTTAAGGTGAAATTACATGTTGAAAATGCAATTTCAATTTTAAAATCGTATTTTCAAAATGCGATTTTAGTTTTCCAAATAATTTGAAAAGGGGGTCAATTCTCTAAATTGTTTTTTCTTTTTTTAGAATATTAAAAAAAAAAAACTCTTATGCTTGAGAATAGAGACAAATTACAAATAGAAAGGGTTAAATTGTTATAAATATAATTTTTACTCAATAAATAAAAAATAAAATAAAATGGTCATTATAACCTCAAAAAATTGACCCCATCTTTAATGCTTCATGTCCTCCCTTCTTTATAATTATCACCATTTTTTTAAAAAACTTTTTATCAATTTTAAGTATATTTTTACAAATTTTAGATTTGTCTCTCGACTACAAGAATTTACAAATTAAAGATATTTTTATATTTACAAAATTACTAAAGGCTCAGAATAATATGAATATTTATACAATAAAAAATTGGAAAATTTACCCATAAGTCCTAGTTTTTGAAACGTTGAACCATTTAGTCCTAAAAGTTTTCTTATACTCCATTTAGTCCCATTTTTACATCAACATGATGTGAATGATGTAAATGATCTGATGTTTCATTCTATAATTTCAAAATTTATTGAAATCTGATGAACATTAGATGTTTTTCATCCTATATTTTCAAACATTATTGAAATTTGATGAACATTAGATGTTTGAAATCCAATGTTTGTAACATGACTCTGATGTTATTAACATTGTATCTGATGTTATTAACATTATAATAGGACCTTTCAGTCTATAAGAAAACTTTTAGGACTAAACAGTGCATAAGTTATTAATTTGGGATTTATTGGTGCATCCCCCTTAAAAATTTATGTAACAATTTATTTTTGGGTAAGTATGTGACAATTTATTTAACCAAATAAATTCAAAAATTTTTTTCTTCAAAATATGCACCAAGCAGATTTATAATTTATTTTAATTCAGTTAATGATCTAAAAAATTATAATCCAAAAAGCTAATTTTTCAATTTAAATAATTTAATCATTACACTTTAAATTAAATTTTAATTTAATTATTCCATTTAAATTAGACATTAAAATTAATAATTTTTTCACATGTGTTCATCTCTTAAAGTGTGCATATAGAGCAAATCAAGCAAAAAAAGTGTGCATATAGAAATAAAAAACTTCTAATGTACACACATTTCAAAATAATATACCATATACAATTTTAATTATGTAATTTTTTTCTATAGTGTTAATTAATTTTTTTGATATTAGTTTAATTATGATTCATAAATTCTTTAGTTATGCATTATATTATATTTAGTTATGACATTTTTTTTTTGTTATAGTTAAAAAAATATAAAGTTGTGCCTTTTTTTTTAACACCGTTTAGTATATCTAAGTAAAATTGACTATGATTTATATTGAAAAACTAAATTCACATTGAACTTAGATGTCGTTTGGCAAAAAAAAATTTAGTTGATTTTTTTGAATTGAATTTTTTTTTAATTTGGGACTAAAATGTTCGTTTGAATTAATTTTTTGGGCCTTTTTTTATTTTTATTTTTGTGAAAAAAATAAAATAATTATAATTTAAATGTGATATTTTATTTTATTATCTTATTAATCAGTTTTGATTTTTGTACTTTTTTTTAGTTTCAAAAACTCGCAAACGAAGCCTTAAATTATATAAATTAAAACAATAAAAACGAAAGTAAAATTTAAATTAAACTGGGGATGAAAAGTACAATTCAAGATGATTTATTTTCTCTCACCCGGGAAGTGCAATAGTTCATTTGGACTGATGGAAGAAAAGAGAGAGTGAAGGGAAGTAAACTCCATCTCCAGGAACTTTTCTCTGATCAAATCGTTTTTCATCTTCGCAAAAGTGCTTGGGTTTTGCAGATTCGTGCGATGAGCTTTGCGCGTACATCAATCTTTATCTCTTCTCAATCGGCTCATCCAGTGTAAATGCACACAGATTATCCGATTCGGAAATCTTCCCAATGGGTATGCTTATACAACATTATATATATATATATATCTATGCATCTCCTAGGGTTTTATTGTTTTCATTTGTTGGTTTGTTCGCTTTAATTATTAGTACACACTGGGTGTGTGAAATTTAGGTTATTTGAAGTAATTGAATCTGATAACCATAACACTTAATTGAAAGCAGTTTAATTTATTTTTCCGATGTACCTAAAAAAAAAGAAAGCAGTTTAATTTGAAAGAACAGTAATATAGATAATAGTATAGATATTATAGACTCTTATTTGATAAAATTTGAAGATTGCATTTTTATTTTATTTTGTTTTTTTTTTTCTTTTCTCCTAGTTAGCCTTGTTTGGTTGCTAAGAAAATAAAAGAACAGTGAATAAAATTTGAATTTTTAGCTTTTAGTGGGTTAGAAATTAATTGTCCTGAAAAGTATTGGGTACCAAAGTGTATGGTATAAATTCAAATTTGGAACCTTGAGGGTTGTCCTTGAATGGTTGGTGGGTATTCTCCCTACACAATTGTTCAGGGTTCAATTCTTGTGGCGCAAGAAAGAAATTTCTTGTGAATTCCCTAGTCCCGGCATGGATGGCCTGCCTTTGACTGGACTGGAGAGGAGATTAGTCGAGCTGCGTGTAAACTGGCCCAAAGGCCCGAACACCCCTTACCGTTTTTTTTTTGGGAGGAGGGGGAATCAAATTTGGTTTGGTGTGGGTGACATTCAAAATGAATTTGAACGATATATTTCAGTTATTTTTGGAGTAGTTTTTATGTGTGTTGAGGGGGTGCATTGTTTTTAGATGGGATGGGGTACTAAGTTCCTAACAAGGATGAAATAGGAGTTTTTTTTTTTTACCTTTATTATTTTGATGTCAATAAGAAAAGTAGACTTTATTCTTCTACATAAAAGTGATTATTATTTTTCATTTGGTAAACCAATTGTAAAATGAGATTGACAGTGGGACAAGTTGAAGAATATACAAAGTATCATGCACAAACTTGAAGGGGATATGTTTTTGGGCTCATGGGGTCACTTGCCATAGAAACCTCCAAAATATTCATAAAGTTACCAGCATAATAATTATAACAACAACAAGAAGAAGGATTCATTACTCTTTGTACCTTGTAGTTTTGTGAGAATTTGAATTTATCCCTTGTAAAATAAAAAATGCGCTTTGTCCCTAAAAAGTGATTCCTGAACTTATTACTAATGGAGTAGTAGCTCCCATTTTACCATTAAACTTGAATGATTAGTGAAGAGGTTTTTAGAGGGAATAAAACTCTCGAAGCGTCATAGTCCATTTGATAAGCAATTCGCTCTCAGGTATTGTAGACTCTCTTGGAAGGACATGATGGGAATGAATCACAATTTTTAAACACAGGTATTTACTTAATGAAAACTCCAACTGTCATGTCAATTAGGATCCATACAGATGTTGACATGACAACATCTGGGTATAATATCAATAAGCCTATAAAATCTCATTTAATTAATAGTAATGCTACGGGACCAAATTTCAGTATTAGATATTGGATACCATTTGATGTTTCACCAGCTTTCATGTCATATATCAAATTACCAATGTATTGGTGAGATGGTATTCAAAATTTAGTACCCAAATCTGTTTAATTAAAGATCATTGCTAAAAATAATTAGTGAATTGTTATTCCTACTTCAATTCATTATAAATGTAGTCTAAAATTTGTCTTCTAGTGTGCATTGGCAATTATGTTGCATGTAATTTAAGACACTAAAAATGTTTTTTATTAGCAACAAATAAAATTGAATTAGAGAACATGCTGAGGGGGCACAACCCTTATACAATATAATCAATCAAAAGAAAGAGAAAAATAAGAACTACAAAGGAAAAACCAGCACCCCTTTTACAAGTCCATAAAACAAAATATCCACTCACAAAACTACAAAAAACTTCAATATTGCACCCAATTTTACAAGTTGCTTTCTCAACTTCTGATATCAATTTCCATTTAGCACTGCTAGCCTTACCAATAGCCACAACAGAATTGATATCCAGATTCTTCTCATTGAACTGCCTCTTGAATTCTTTTTTTTTTTGTTTGATAAATAAGAATATTATAAGAAACTAAAGCATTAAGGAGATGCAAAAGAATACAAGACGACACTCCCAATAAAGGAGCACCACACACAAAAACAAAGAAAACTAAACAAATCAACCAATCACATCATCTAAAATGTCCAAAAAGGTAAACAAATCTGGATTTGCCAGCCCAGACACTCAACCGCACAAAACATGGAGAAACCTTGATTCAAACCAATACAAAAACCGCACAACCTCCCGGAAAATATAATGGTTTCTCTCTAGCCAAATGAGCCACATCAAAGATAGAGGAGCCAAAGCCCAAGCCTTCCGATGCCTCTTGAATTCTTTCATTTTGATTATAAGAAAAAAACACTAACAGGTCTCTTATGTAAATTACTATCCTCAATCAAACACCCATCCTTATCCTTCTTGTGATTTTGCCCTGCTTTAGATCCTCTCTTGTGTTCATCATAATTCGCTTTGCATTGAAATCTTCCAAGTTCCCTTTACTTTCTAGAGGATGTTTTCCCTCCTCCCTTTCGAGGTTCATTTATAATGAAATGGAGTAGGAAATAAAAATTCCTTTTGTAGTTGCTAAATTTACATCCTAAAAATGTTCTATTCATATCCTAATCTTCACTTGTGGTGGTCTAGAGGTTTAAAGAAAAAGGAGGAATTCACACTTTGATATAATATCTTCCCATGTTTTGAAGTTTTAAATTAATTGATCACAACACAAAGAGCGTGCAAAAGCCTATTGTCTTTGAGGTGTTTGTACCTTTGAGATTTGAATCCTAACATTTTCTTGATAACAACATCTAATTTGCAATTGTAGCAAGATTCCAATTCACTCCAAATGTTAATAATGTTATATCATTATCAATGATACGTGTTAAATTCTGAATCCTTTTTTTCTTTCTTTAATTTTTAGGGCAATTACTTAAATCCATTCTACATGCAATACCTCAAGTACATAGATTGATAGTTGCTAAATTTGATTAAAAAGTAGCTGTTAAATTCACATCCTAAAATCATTGCATTCATATCCTCTTCTTCACTTGGGTGGGACTACTCTAGTATCATTTGATATGTATTGGTTGGTAAAACATCAAATGGTATCCCAAATTTGGTCCCAGAGCAATACTGTTAGTTAATTGAGGTTTGATAGGCTTATTGATATCATGCCTAGATTTTGCCATGGCCGCATTTGTATTGGTCCCATCTGACATGGCAATTGGAGTTTACGAGTTAACTTCACTAACTTGTGTTGGGTGGTTGTGATCCATCCTATTAGGTTCTTACAAGGAAGTCTACAATACCCAAGAGCAGATCATTGATCAAATGGACAATGAAGCTTCGACAATTACATTCCCTCCCAAAACCTCTTCACCAACTACTTTACCTTCCACTTAAGCTCTTCATTCCGTCCCCCCATTTTATCTACTTTAAACGTATCCAAACCTTTGCTAAGTTTGGTGGAGACCAAAATGCCACTGCTAGTTTAAGCTTCAATGAAGGTAGCTACTTCGCACCCACCTCCATTTCCTATTCAAAGCTATTATCTCTTTGCTGCCAAACCAAGTCTCTTAGTCCTGGGCTACAAATCCATGCCCACTTAACCAAAACCGGGTTATATGAAGACACGAAGCTCCAGAACCATCTGATTAATCTGTACTCAAAGTGTCGAGCTTTTGGTTATGCTCGTAAACTGATCGATGAAAGTCCACAACTAGATTTGATTTCTTGGTCTGCTTTGATATCTGGGTATGCTCAGAATGGGCTTGCTGATGAAGCCCTTTTGGCTTTCCATGAAATGCACTTGTTGGGTGTCAAGAGTAATGAATTTACTTTCCCGAGTGTACTTAAGGCATGCTCAATTACAAGAGATTTGATTCAAGGGAAGCAAATTCATGGGATTGTGGTTGTTACTGGGTTTGAGTCAGATGTTTTCGTTGCAAATACTTTGGTTGTTATGTATGCTAAATGTGGTGAGTTTGTGGATTCGAGGAGGTTGTTTGATGAGATTCCAGAAAGGAATGTAGTTTCTTGGAATGCGTTGTTTTCTTGTTATGTGCAGAGTGATTTTTTTGCAGAAGCACTGGGGTTGTTTCAAGAAATGGTGTTAACTGGAATAAACCCGGATGAGTATAGTTTGTCTAGTATATTGAATGCCTGCACGGGGCTGGGGGATGTCAATCAAGGGAAAAGAATTCATGGACATTTAATAAAGCTTGGGTATGATTCTGATCCATTCTCAGCAAATGCACTTGTTGACATGTATGCAAAAGGTGGATGTATTGATGATGCAACAGTAGTTTTTGAGGAAATTGCAGAACCTGATATTGTTTCTTGGAATGCTATTATTGCTGGTTGTGTTCTTCATGAATATCTCGAATGGGCTTTGGAGTTGCTGAGGCAGATGAAGAGGTCAGGAGCCAGCCCAAATATGTTCACCTTGTCAAGCGCTCTTAAAGCCTGTGCTGGATTGGGACTCCAAAAGTTGGGCAGAGAGTTACACTCTGTATTGGTGAAGATGGATGTAAAATTGGATCCATTTGTGAGTGTTGGCCTTATTGACATGTATTGCAAGTGTGATTTAATGAAGGATGCAAGGGCAGTTTATAATTTTATGCCAGAGAAGGACTTGATTGCATTGAATGCTATGATCTCTGGACACTTGCATAATGGGGACGATGTAGAGGCTTTTTCCCTTTTTACTGAGATGTACAAGGATGGAATAGGATTCAACCAAACAACTTTGCTTACAATACTCAACTCCACGGCTGGCTTGCAAGTTGTCAATGTTTGTGGACAAGTTCATGCACTTTCTGTAAAATCAGGACATCAATCTGACATTTATGTTGTAAACAGCCTCATTGATTCATATGGAAAATGTGGCAAGGTTGAATACGCGGCAAAAGTTTTTGAAGAATGCCCATTTGGAGATTTGGCATCTTTTACTTCTATGATTACAACTTATGCTCAATATGGACAAGGAGAAGAAGCACTGAAGCTTTACTTAAAGATGCAAGATATGGAACTCAAGCCAGATCCATTTGTCTGTAGTTCTCTCCTAAATGCTTGTGCAAATCTATCTGCTTATGAACAGGGGAAACAAATGCACGTTCACATCTTGAAATTCGGATTCATGTCAGATGTTTTTGCAGGGAATTCTCTTGTCAACATGTATGCCAAATGTGGAAGTGTAGATGATGCTGGTCGTGCTTTCTCAGAGATAGCTGAGAGAGGTATTGTCTCATGGTCTGCCATGATTGGTGGACTTGCTCAACATGGGCATGGAAAAGAAGCCCTCAATTTATTCAACGAGATGCTTAAAGATGGCATATGCCCCAATTATGTAACTTTGGTTAGTGTACTTTGTGCGTGCAATCATGCTGGATTGGTAGCTGAAGCAAAACGATACTTCGAATCAATGAAAGAGTTATTTGGGATTCAGCCCACACAAGAGCATTATGCTTGTATGATTGATCTCCTTGGCCGAGCTGGGAAACTGGAAGAAGCAATGGATCTTGTAAGTAAGATGCCATTCGAAGCCAATGCCTCTGTTTGGGGGGGCCTTCTAGGTGCAGCAAGAATTCACAAGAATATTGAGCTTGGCCAACGGGCGGCTGAGATGCTTTTCACTCTTGAACCAGAGAAATCTGGTACCCATGTTCTTCTTGCAAACATTTATGCCTCGGCTGGCATGTGGGAAAACGTGGCGAAGGTGAGAAGACTGATGAAAGAAAGCAATGTGAAGAAGGAACCTGGGATAAGTTGGATTGAGGTGAAAGACAAAATATACACATTTATAGTCGGAGATAGAAACCATTCTAGAAGTGCAGAGATATACGCAAAGCTTGATGAGTTGAGGGACTTGATGAATAAAGCTGGGTATGTCCCTATGGTGGAGATTGACCTCCACGATGTCAAGCGAAGCGAGAAAGAGCTTCTTCTTTCCTTCCACAGTGAGAAACTTGCAGTGGCTTTTGGGCTGATTGCCACTCCGCCAGGAGCTCCCATTAGGGTGAAGAAGAACCTTCGAGTCTGTGTGGATTGCCATACTGCATTCAAGTACATTTGTAAAATTGTTTCTAGGGAGATTATTATTAGAGACATCAATCGGTTCCACCATTTCAGAGATGGGTTGTGTTCTTGTGGGGATTACTGGTAGTATTAGTTGATGATTAGTGCTATTTTTCTTGAGGAATTGCTAGTTCTTTTTGTGACATACAAAGGAATGATTTTTACACCCTCACAATTCTTTGTAGGCTGAATTTTGTATTTTATTTTGATGTATCGATTAAGGAAATGAAAAAATTCAAAATTAAATGACACTGTTTTACTTTTTTTCCGCATGTGTTAATCTCTTTCTTACATGCTTCTTCCATGATTATACTTCCTGTTGTGCTAGAAATGACTGTTTGTTTGGAAAATTTACAAGAGCACGTCTGAGGACACTGCCATGGGGCACGCATGTTCATTTTCCAGCTCGGTAAAGGTGCTGTTTGCTTAGACAGAAAGTTTTTGGATTGCACTATTGCTTTCTTACATGCTTCTTTGATGATTATTGTGCTAGAAATGACTCAGTTTGGAAAATTTACAAGAGCTTTTAGGTGGCCTGGGGCTGGAAGTGATTGATGTTCATTTTCCAATTTTATGAAGGCTCTGTTTGCTGATGCAGTGTCTTCTAATAAAGTGCTTTTAATTGAGAATGCTTATAGAGAAGAGATTGTTGTGAAGTGGTTTGTTATTATTCTGTTGTTGCACTTTGAGCTTTCCCATTTGTTTTGATAAAAAAAAAACATTTTATTTATTAAATTCAATGTGAGTATATATAAAATATTATTTTTATTGAGTTCAATAACTAAAAAATCTATTTTTCTATTGATTTTATTTAGTAAAAATAGATAAATGATTTAAATTGAAATTAAATAAAAAAGTTTAGAATTTAAATTAATAAAATTAAAAACTCAAAATTTGGTTTGTTATAAGACTCAAATCGGAATTTTTTTTTATTATTATTATTATTTTGTAATTTTCTCAATAATAAAATTTAGTGCCAAGTTTATTTACTTAAATAACCCAAATATATATATAATTTTGTAACTTTTTTAGGTACATTTTTTTTTTTGGGGGGATATTTTTTTAGAAGAACCATGAAACTATCAAATCCAAAAAAAATAAAAAGAAGAAATTAAGGGTAAATTACACTCACCACTTACATATATGAAAAAAATATTCTATAATCTTAACATAATTAATTTGAATTTTTTTTAATAAGATTAAATGAACTAAAACTAATTCATCCATATAATTAATAGATGATTGTTGAAAAGATGATTATGTGTTACACGAATTAAAATATTTAGATAACTCAATATAATTATATTAAAATTATGAAACTTATTATATTTTTATTAAACTTTAAGAGAAATCAATTAGGCTTTTTTGGTACAAATTTTAACAGATGATTATAATTAATTTTAATTTAAGAGCTTATATAAAATTATTTGATACAATTTCTATTTATAACATATTAGATAAAAATAACTTGTAAACTTAAAAAGAAAAAAAAGTTAAAGTAATCTTCACAAAGCACTCCAATATAATTTATAAAAGATTAAAGTTAGAAGCTTATGGAACTTTTGCTTTTTCTTTACTTTTCTTCTCCCAAATAACTCTCCTTAACAACTCATTTAAGCATTCCCCAACCCCCTACTACCTTTACTCTCTCTCTCTCTAGAAAAGCAAAAGAGGAGAGAGAGAGAGATTTTGATAAACCATTGAAGGTATATGTATATATATATATATATATAAAGCAGATCTGTGAGAAAATTAGAGTAGAAATTTTCCCGAGAAAGTGAAGTGAAGTGAAGAAGATGGGTCAGAAATCACTGATCTACGCTTTCGTAGCCCGAGGGACGGTGGTTGTGTCTGAATTCACGGAATTCAGTGGAAATTTCAATTCCATAGCGTTGCAGTGTCTCCAGAAGCTTCCCACCGCCAACAACAAGTTCACTTACAACTGCGATGGCCACACCTTCAACTACCTCGTCGATGACGGCTTCAGTGAGTCCTCTCCTCTTGTTTTTTTCTCGTTTCGTTTTATCTTCGATCTGTTTGGTTGATGAGAAAATCTTAGGAACATAAAAAGGAAACTAATTTGCTGGATTTTTAATTAATTATTGGTTTGATTATGTTTTTATATTTTACTTTACAGTAAATGAAATAGTGAATGATTAAGTGAGTCTGTTTGGCTAAGATGATAGTACTTTTCTCTGCTTTGATGTTTTGCCTTACTGTTTAGATGAGTTTGGAGACAATATCTGCTTATCATATTTCATTATAGCAGTATATATGTATGTACTAACGGCTGGTACACACACTATGCCTGTGCAAATGCATGTGAGACAATGAATAGTTGAATTTTGAAGATTTTAATAAGTTTTTCACAGTGATAGTTTTTAGACTGTTATGGGCATTTTCGAAATAGAAAATGCGTGACATCTACAATATCTCCATGCTTCACTTTTTATATAGTATGGATAGATATAAAATAGAATAGTATATATATGATCCCATAAACAAGAAGATAAAACTCAAATATTTTGTATAAGGTTCTTAATTTCAGGAAACAACAAATAAGATTATATAACATTTTGTTCCATTGCAATGAGTTTGATTTTAGGTATCTTGTTATTAATTTTTGTGAATCAGAAACAGAGGGAACATCAAATTGAGTTTCTCCGTAAGTTGCGATTGTTTGTCACTTGTGTGTTTTGATTTTGACGATATTGTTTGTTTTGGTATGGTATGAATGTGGTGGTTGGCATTGGGTATAATTCTTTGAGGCTTGGTTTGGCTGTTGAGAAAGTGTAAGAGACTAAAATAAAATAGTTGAGCTGATTGAGTTTAGATTTAAATTCCAGGAAAACAAAAATATAAAGATTATGTAGCATTGGGTAATTATTACTATGAGCTGTGACATTTCCTTTAATGGTTGGACATCTTAATGGTTTTGTGTGGATTTGGGTTTGTTGCTGATGGATAACTAATGTTATTTTTTTCGAACGAAGAAAAATTTTATGTTGATATTTTTCTTACGTTTGGTTTCTTTGGAAGTGAGAGTTTCAGGCAAATTTTTTTTACAATACTTGTTAGACTGTTCTTTAATACTTGATTTTTCTTTTGAGGAAATTAATACTGGAAATTGTTAAATTCTGTTCCTTTCCTTTGGTTTATTTGCATTCATAAGAGATGTTCTCTGCCGAAAAGTAACTGCCTTTACTTGATATGGGCTCCATATTTCAATGTCAATAATATGTGGGAAACATAAAGAAGTTGAAGATATGAAATTTTATAGTTCACATTATTGGGGATGTGAGAGAAATGAAGTATGCACTAGAATGGGCCTAAATATTGGATTACTTGAGTTGAATACCCCTTTCTCCACCCCCATTCCCTTGAAAAACCAGAACAGCTCAATATACCTTAGAACTTCTTTCATGTCAACAAGAATTCAAATAAATCAATGTTGTTTTAGGACAATTTATAATTTTGATAAAAAAAAAAATATATTATGATACTTTTCAAAGGAAAAAGAAGAGGAAGAAGAAAGTGTTTCCCTTGAATTAGATACATTTTATGTTTGTTTGGGCTGCTAAGTCAAATATCTTAAATTCTATTGCCACTCAACCATCGGTCATGTGTTTGTTGTTGCGATAACATGTTTTTGATTGGAAGGTCAACCTTATAATGGAAGGATTTTTAGAGGGAAAAATTATATTTATTTATTTATTTGTTTGGGGATATGTATATGATGTGTTAGAAATTCCCCAAAGCTTAAATTGTTAGGAAATGAGTCCTACAATGTATAAAGTTATCCAACACCCTCCTTTGTGTACAATCCCGTCTTGCAATTGAAGATGCAAGCATCCATACGTAGAGAGAAGAGAGAATGCAAATGAGAGAAAGAATGCAAATGGGGACCAAATGCAAATGGAGAGACTCGATAAGTATTTGATAAATTGTACGGAGTAATGGAGTTTTCAAAGATAATAGTTGTAAAGCAAATCATGGAAAATTAAACAGCCGTTCTTAAACTGTCGCGATCAAATTTGAGGAAACTTGCATGCACAAAACTCTAATAGCGTAATAGAAATTGTGTACAGTAAAGCTTGGAAGCTTTAATTTCTTTTGCATCAATTTACTGACTAGAGAGGTGGCACTCACTATCTGATTGCAAATAAATGATTCTTTGATGTTGCAGCATATTGTGTAGTGGCAGATGAGTCAGTTGGAAGACAGATTCCTATGGCTTTTCTAGAACGTGTCAAGGATGACTTTGTATCAAGATATGGAGGTGGAAAGGCTGCGACGGCTACTGCAAATAGCCTAAACAAGGAATTTGGGTATTCTAGTTTCATTAAGACCATAATAAGGAAGGCAGATCTTGTCACATTATAATTAACGGGTCATGATTTCCTTGCAGATCAAAATTAAAGGAGCATATGCAGTACTGTGTTGATCATCCTGAAGAGATAAGCAAACTTTCAAAGGTGAAGGCTCAAGTCTCAGAAGTCAAAGGTGTTATGATGGAGAATATTGAGAAGGTATGGAGGTGATAAGTTGGTTTGTGCGCTCTTTTGCATATTGAAACACATGCAATCAAACTATATGAGTTTATGGCCTCGAGACATCATATTTTAGTGTTTTAGGCATTGATCAATTATTGAAAGATGTAGGAATTAATAAATAATTAGCAATAGTTGTGCAATAATTCATTTGATTATGTATTTCTTGGTCTAAGATATAATGAGAATATGATTCAACCATCTTATTGAGGATTTGAGGTTTGCATGATATTTTGTAGTGAATGTCAGACGACTTTTTCTTGGTCACAAATTGTTATAACCATTATATTTGAAGGTGTCAAATTGGAAACTCCATTTCTTTATTTAATTCAAAGCAAAGGTTGAATCACTATGTATGTTAACTATATAATATTAAAACCCAAGTTGAATATTGAAAAAAGAGAGAAATTGATCTGTTTTTTCTAAGAGGTGCATGCATCAAATGCAATACACGTCTCTTGACGCTAAGTTTGCATCTAAGTAAAATCACATTTAGGTTATGAAGATTGGTACAGTTTTTTGTTTGACCTTTTCTGGATGAGCATTGATGTAATTCGAAGTCCAAGTCTTAGAATATATTTTTTATTCTAATATGGAGAATAATTTGTGCCTGAAAAATTACTTGCATTTTTATAATTAATCATACACAAAGTTGTAAAAAGCGAAGGCATCCATCATGTACTAGGGGCGCATAACTCTTTAATATGAGCATACATATAGGCATTGAGGCCTAAGCCTGAGTGATTTGCTCTTTCAAAATCTCTGTGAAGCTGACTTGCACAATGCTTGGTAAGTAAAATATTGTCGTGTTCTTCAATTTTGAAATTGAGCAGAACTTTAGCAAATAACTTGTTTGATGAATATGCTTTGTTATGTCAACAAAAGTGATGCATGAAGTTGTTCCTTGTTCTAGTAGCCTTGATGAAAACTTTAGGCGTTTTTCTATGTTTCCCCTGACCTACCCACAGGCTGTCATGCACACAAACTTGCGCAATGATTTTTTCAGAATGGAACTGTTTTGGTCTGAATATGAGCACATGATATACCAAACATTTGCTCATTAAAATGTGTTATGGTTTTAAATCACTTACAAGAGTGCTTGCATGATGAAAGCATAATATGGACAATACAAGTTAGTGATGGTTATGTTTGGTGCTAATAATTTGTTTTGTTTGATTTCCCCTCCCGCTTTTATGCTGTTCTTATTCTTTTCATCGTGGAATTGATGAATCATTCCTTCTTTAGTGGGTTAAAACTAGGGATTGGCTACACTTGCATCCCCCGTTCTACCCAGCCCCAGCCCTAATCCCGATTATATTTATTAAATATATTTATTTTATTGGTATATAATATATAATTTAATTTTCTTAATATATTAACTAAAATATGACACTTGACATTCATTTCAACATCTTGATTTCTTATTTTACATCTTTTCACTCATAAAACATTATCTATAATAAACCATATTATGTCTCTTTTTTTATTTATTTATTAATACTGCAATTCCTAATATGCCAAAATTAATCCGGCCACCCCTCCCTGTTGCGATCCCTAGTTAAAAATCTCTGTCTTATCTCAGTTTCATCATCTTTTTACTACTGGAAGTGCCCGTAAACCTCAATGGTGATCTATGTTAGATGACTTGGTGATCAGTGTCCAAGTGTTTGATTCATCTGTTCCCATTCCAAGGATATAGGGACATGGAAAAATATTTGTGCATAATGCCTTCCCTTTTTCAAGGAAATTCCCTCAGATTAGTTCTGATGCATTGATGCTTATTTTGTTTTATAATTTAGGTTCTGGATCGTGGGGAAAAGATAGAGCTTTTGGTGGATAAGACTGAGAACCTTCATCAGCAGGTAAGTCATCCTCTCTCTGTGGGTTTGTTTAGTGTAGTGTTTTGTTACAATTGTGCGAACCCCTAGCACATCAATTGTCTTCTTCTCCACTTGTGTTCTGCATTTTTTTAAAATTTGAGTGTTTTTATCCATGTTGTGTCACATGTCCGTGTCCGTGCTTCTTAGAGTGTTTGCGTCTTCTCATTTTGTGCTTGGACAGGCACAGGACTTCCGGAGCACAGGAACAAAAATGCGGAGGAAGATGTGGCTGCAAAACATGAAGATCAAGCTGATTGTTCTTGGAATTCTGATAGCCTTGATCCTCATCATAGTCCTTTCGGTTTGCCACGGGTTCAACTGTGGTAAGTGATCATCGCCTTCGTCCGAACACTACACATTTGGAAGAAAGATGTTTTGTGCTGGTCTACCCTGGCCTTTTGCAATTATATATAATATATCTGAAAAGAAATGTGGTTGTGATTTGTGTATGTAGTTTACCAATCCATCAATTACACCATTATATTGAACCAAAGAAAACTAATTTTGCTGTAAAACAGCCTATGAAAAATATTTTTATTGTATCATGTGTTTGAAAGGGTAAAGCTCGATTTTTAAACCTTTGTGAGCAAGAGGGATTGTCTGATGCTGTATCGCAACCCAATTGTGTCATTTACCCTTAGGCGGCTCTCTCGAACAAAGTGAGTGTTCCACTGGCCTTCGAGGGCATATTATTTTCAATACCTGGTCACCTTTGTGCCATCGTTAACACATTGTGTATCATACAGTTTGACATTCATTTTTTTTTTTTGGGTCTAGGATTTTGTTCTCAATCCTTACTCATTTTTATCATAAATGGACATGAATTTTGTGTTAATGATACAGAGACTACCCCCCTTTTATATCGGTCCACGTGTCTTTCTGAAAGTAATAGAGATGGGGTTTATAGCTACGGTAGCAAACACCACTATTGTTGACATAACTCTCATTCTGGTTTTAACCCCCGCCCCTCTCTCATCAAAAAAAAAAAAAAAAAAAAAAATGTTTGAAAGTTGAAACATTCAATAAATTGGATATTGAATGGAAGGTGCAAATGCATTTATGCAAAAGCAAGTCTTTGATTGAGTTCTAATCCCCTTTTCCTTATTAGTCCCAGAATTTCAGTTAAACAATGGACATAAATTGAGTGCTCATTTCTTGGCTAACGTATGGAATATGCATTGAAAAAACAAAAGATTAGATAGATCATTAGTTTTATACCATGGAATTTTATGTTACATTTCTTTTGATCAGCTATATTTTATGTACATAACATAGCAGGGGACCAAACTGAAACACTTTTATATATTGGGAATTAAATTGATGCAATTTAAATTTTGAAAACTAAATGACAAAAAAGGCTCATATTTTGAGAACTACAAATATAATTAATTTAATAAAAAATAAGCGTGTAAAAATAAACGGGGACAAGTGTCGGTATGAGTGTGAAGTTAACATTCTTGGAATAAGAAAAAAGAAAATATTAAGGTTAAAATTGTAAAAAAAAAAAAAAAACTCTAGATTATGGTAATCACACCAACAAAGGCAATCTCTTTCAAATAGGCTAATCAATTATTGCCATATTCTACCATTACCTAAGAGATGAGAATTCAATTAATGTCCATTCTAACTTAATTGAAGTTTAGATCCCACAAGGACAAAGGGGATAAACAAAAATTAATGATAGAAAAATTGATTTTACATAATTTATTTTTACATGACACTAAATTCATACATCTTCAATCCTATGGTCAGATATCAACACCCAATTAATGTCTATTCTTGCTTGAATGAATATTGAAGGGGTATAAATTTTTTGAGGATTGAGGGTGTGTTTCATGTTTCACACACAAAGATGGCATAAAATAGTGTAAGAAATATGGTAACAGTGGCGGTGTTGACAATGTTATCTGTAATTGTCGTTCATGCTGACCAAAGTGGTTCCGATAGTGAGTTCATAGCAAGGTACACTCTGTTGAGAAGGCCTATGAGCATTCATGCTGACCAAAGTGGTTCAGATAGTGAGTTCATAGCAAGGTATGCTCGTTTGAAACGGCCTATGAGCGTCTACAAATCTAGTAGGATGTGTGCGTACCGAAACTAGCACTAGATGAAAGTGGATCGGAGCTCTGCGACTGAATGGACTACCTAGAAATTGAGGACATGCAAGACAGAACACCTTTAGAGCTGCCTGACCGAGGTTGGTTGGAAAACCCCTCCGATGTGGGAATGAGTGATCGGAGAAGATAAAGAACTCTCTCTAGGTGTAGAGAGAGGAAAGGAAAGAATGTATATTCAGTTATGTTTAAATGAGTAGAGTTGTTATGAGATGAGATTGGATTAGATACCTTTAATGTGAAGAGAGTGAGGCTTTATATAGAAGACTTTGCTTGTTGCCCAAAATGGTTTCATGGAGCTTTGGTGCTTTAAGGCTTCCCTTAACATTGCTCAAGGTGGGGAACCTCAAGGTAGTTGACAATGGATGCATGTGCTCATTGTAACCATGCATATAATAGATCACATTCCCTGTGCTAACTGCTTTCGTGATTCTAGGGGGAAGGGACCAATTGAGGTAGCAGCCTGGACATGCATGTGTTCATAGCTTCCATTCTTTGAGATGTTTCTTCAGCTCGGTACCGTTGTGCCTCGGCTCAACCTTTCGTAAGACTGCTTGTAGAGATGGGCTGGCCCATTTAGATGTTTTTGTGTGGGCTCAACCCACTTTGATTCTGATGATGGGTTCGGCCCATCAGTTCGGTCCACAGATTAAGTTCAGCAGCTCGGCCCAGCCTAGCATTGCAGCTGAACTGGCCTTTCCACTGCGAGTTGGGCCCAAGTGCTTGAGGACTTGGGAAGACTGTTTTTCATGGAGATGGGCTCAATTGACTGGCCCACACATTCGCTTGATCCACTTGGGTTTGGGCTTAGTGAATTGGACCGGCCCAAGGCTTGGATCTGACCCGTTTTATTTGTTGCCCCTTCAGGACGTAATTCTGAATTTGCCTCAAATTTCCTCTATGGTACATCCAGAAAGACTAGGTTGCTTGAATTTCAAAGTATTGTGAATGTGAATGGAAGTGGTGAAAATAGTAACAAATTAGAAGTTGATGTTACTTATAACGGAGACCAGTGGGATATAATGAAAAAACTCACAATTAGTGATATACAAGGGGGCAGTCTTCATATTGGTTCAATTGTATTCAACCAGGAAATTCTCCCCGCAAATGACTGATGAGCAATGACAAATCCTAAGTCGATCCAAAAAATTGAAAATTGTTGTCTTTGATGTTGATAAAGGAGTAGCTCATGAGATGAAGTAAAATAGGTACGGACAAAGATATTATTCCATTTCGAGCCAATGGACCTCTGAATTTGTTCGACGCAGAAGCCTCAAGGTATTGCGCTGGGTTAATAATCAAATGCAATTTACCAAGTTTAGCTAAAAGAGAAACAGTGTGATATACATTTTTTAAATTGAAATAAGTGGGAACAATCTGGCACGTTTGGGATGAAGTTTTAGTTACATAAATAATGGTTATTGGGAAGAATTAATGTCCCAAGTTCACTTGTCTTGGTTGTACTAAAGTTTAATCGCATTATGGTTTCATTTTGAAAAAATAAAAGTAAAAATATTGGTACTAGTCTACCAAGATTTTATTCCAACTCAAGGTAACTTGTTATTAGTTGAGTTTAAAGTATATCTTTAATAGTCTAGTTGAATTGATGCTTTTAGTTATGTTTTGTTAGCCTTCTATGATTTAGCCTCTTCAACTGGTTAAGTGGTTAACTATTTTAGAGATATGATTAGACAAACAAATACGTTTCTAAATTTGCTTTGTCAAAAAAACAGAAAAATAAAAACCCTACGCATGCATTTATCATCAATGACATGCAATACTACTATTCAAATAGTCGTGACCATTCATATCACTTTCTGATTTGTTAGAGTGTTTTAGGTTATGGATGTGATGCATTTGGCTCTTTGATGGTAACTCTTTTGATAATATTATCAAATTTCATCCAATTGACTAATCAGCATGAGTATAATGTCATTGGTACAATTTTTTCATACTAATAAGGTTGGTTGTAATTTTGGCAATTATCATCAAAAGATTGGTCTAATTTGCCTCCTTGAAAAGTGGGCCTCCAACAAATATAATTAAATCATGTTCATTCATATGAATTCTATGTCCGATTTCTATGTTCATAGATCGACTGTTCTTTGAACCATTGTGTGACGACACGATGACCTCATTCTTCGCAAAATGATGAATGAACAAGGTTATAATAATATGATAGGGCTTGGCCTTCATGGGTCAATATGAAAATGAGAAAAGCACATTTCAATTTCAAAGGATGTTGAATGTCATGGACTTTAAGCCTATGTTTTGGCATTGAATATAGTTAAGAAAATTAGGCAAATGAACAAGTCTTGTGTGCTTATATTAATTTTTTTTTCCTCAAAGAAAGGGTCTTTCATTTTCAAGGAATACTTCTAGTGCCTACATTAACTTTATCTAGTTAGAATGTCCTTTGTATTATAATAAAGCCAAAATACTTATCTTTTAAGTTTGGAATTGTATCTCATTAGGATATTCAAAGAACGACAATTGAGTTTTACTCTGTCAACTCTCATTAACAAATCCTAGTCGACAAGATCATAATAAATCTTAACCTTAGAATCGTGAAATAACTCAATATATCTAAGGACACAAAAGTACAAAAATCTAATCAAAATAGACCAAAATACAAGTACTGGGTCGACCTACCATTCGTCTATTAATTGGGTCATGCATATCGCGAACAAGCAATAAACATCATGCATATCCATGCTTAATCTGCCCCCTCCATTTTCATAGTGTTGGCTTTGTCCCTAGCGATGATATATGTTTGTAATACCGTATTGTTGAATTTTTTTTTACATAAATCGACCTATAATAAGCCAAAAAAAAAAAAAAAAACCAGTATACATCCACATCATTATGAAACTCAATGCCAAAAAATTTGGTCCCTACTTGACAAAAGACAACACACATCCCATACTATACACAATTTTTTGGCAATTGTGTTGGTCCAACAGCCTCCAAAAGAGAAAAGTTCCAAAGAAATGACAGGTCAAATTGCAATCGCTTGAAATGTTGTTTGTCAATTCTACAAAAATAGAGAGATGATGCAAGTTTTGAGCATAACATTTTGGCTTTTTTTGTATGTTGCTACACTTCAAAACCTAACATCAATTGATTGATAGGGAAATAATCAAATTAAAGAAAAGTATAAAATAGTTCTTAAACACCTTATATATTGTGTTTTGTTTTTGCAAGGAAAAGGAAAAGATGTAATCTAATTTATTGGGACAAGTTGGGCCCTTTTGAAACCTAATTTTCTCGGTTACATCCAAGGAATGAAGATCTCTGTTTCATAACTAATTATTGTGAACAAATTTGATAAATAACTCAATATTTTAAAAGGGTAATTTTACAATGCTCCGCTTGTCAAAAAGAAAAAATAAAAATAAAAACAAAGAGAAAACTATACTGTGCTCCAAAAATTGTTCCAAATTTTTTATTAGAAAACAACTAA